GAGAGAGAGAGAGAGAGAGAGAGAGAGAGAGAGAGAGAGAGAGAGAGAGAGAGAGAGTGTGTGTGTTTATGGATAAAAATGGTGGAAATACAGCTAGTTTTATTTTGTTCTTATTTTGATTTCTGCGTTTTTTAATATTCCTTGCCATGAGCATATTACTTTTATATTCATAAACAAATCTGTTTTATGACATGCCAAATTAACTAAGGAATAGTTTAATGCTAATAAAGCAAGAAGGTCATTTAAAAGGGTAAACCCCCAATAAGACAGATTTAAAATATAAACAAATAAAACCTTAACTCAATATAGTGAGGAAAAAATAAGAAAAAATAATCATATACATTGTATATTGACAAAATAAAAATTTAATGAAAAAAATAAATAAATAAATAAAATGATTTTTTTTTATGGAGATAAGAAATCATTAAAAGTTAAAGGAGTTTCTTGTCAAAACAAGCAATATACCCAGAGTTTAGGTCCTGGCCCAGCCATAAAAGAACTGGGTATGCATGGACAAGGTGTGTCATTTCTCTGGGCCACCACTATAAAATTAGAGGCTTTGGCCAAACCGATTACTTCCAAACCTGGCTGATCATCAATCCTTTACTGGATGTCTTTTTTAAACCAGCAAATATGCGTGCTTCTTACCTTGCATCTTACTTAATCCTCTAAATTGCTTTAAGAGGTGGGTACCATTATCCCTGTTTTAAGATGAAGAAAATGAGACATAAAGTCCAAAGTCACACAGCTAGTTAGACATTTGAGCCCAGTGTTCATGCTCTTAACTACTAACGTCAGACTTGCAAATCAGTCCTTTAAAAGCACCCAGAGTGATTTACTTGGTCAATTCAAACAGACTATCGCAAGTTTTTTTCCAGATCTCAATTCTAAAATTCTGTAATCCTGTTTTATCATTTCCTTATTTCTGTGGATTGAATTGTCCCCCACAGTCCATGTATTAGAAACTGATGCAATTGTAGTAATTGAAAGGTGGGGCCGTGAAGAGGTGATTAGATTGTGAGGACCATGCCCTAGTAAACAGATTAATAAATTGATGGTTTCATGGTGGTCGTAAGTGTGATTCTGAGGGCTTTAAAAGGAGAGCCCATGAGGAGCTATCTCTCTCTCTCTCTCTCTCGATCACTCTCTCTCTCTCTCTCTGCTCCTGCCATATTTGCCATGTGATATCCTGAGTTGCTGTAGTCAACCCCAGGACAAGGCCCTCAGCAAATGTTTTCCCTGGACTTGGACTTCCCAGCCTCCAAAACTATAAGCAATAAATATTGTTTCTTTACAAACTACCCAGTTTCAGATTTTTTGTTATAAGCAACAAAAATGGACTAATACACTTATCGTTCCTTGTCTTATCAATTCCATGGCCTCTTAGGAGAAATCCTAGTGAGAATCCAATTTGTGAAAGTTGGAGGTGTTTGCAAATATCACCTTGGATCATCTTAAGTCAGCACAAAATCTGAGCTGATTCAGCAGGTACACAGTTGCCCTGGTTTCTCAAATAAACAAAGTATAGAGTACATGAATCAGTAGAGTAGCATGTTCAATATTTCATACAAATTGATTGCACTTCCTGTCATCATTTCATTATGAGGAGATCAGGGAGGAAGGACAGCAGAATTCAAAGAGATTGAAAGATGGAGAAGGCCTTTGGGGCCTGTGTCCTAGATGACCCAGCCCTTTATCTCAATGTCTGGACAAGTGAGAGAGGTATCATCAGCAACAATCTCAAGTGGGACTGAGGTCTCCTCTCTCCTGGTTTCCTGTGTCCTGGCCGAGTGGAACCCATGATTTCAAGAAGGTGAAAAGGAAGTATCAAAGAGAAGGTGTTGCCAAAGGTTAAATGACAAGCTGAAAGGTTAGCATGTGACAAGCCCCAGTCCTTCCCAAGTTGCCTTAGTGATGGTAGAGCTAGAAGAGAACCAGAGAAAGGAAATGATATACTAATATTATTTGCAAAAGCTACTGTTTTAAGCACTCCTGGCAGAACACACAAGCCTGTGGTTCCAATGAGTCACTGGGCAGTGCCACCCAGCACAGTATGGGAACTCTCCCTGGTGTGGGAGCCAGCATGGAATTGGCTCTCTACATGGATCATCTGGGGACACCGACACATAACCCCAAACTCTACCTTGTATACGACTTTACTCCTACTATCTGTAAGGTCCAGCTGGATGGAGATATAATCAATGTTGGGTGAAGGGGGATCCATGTGTTGATAACGAAGCCCCATCAGCAGGAATTCCTCACAGCTCACTTTGAGACTCCCCACTTTCTTCAATCCCAGGGTACAGCTTCCGCCTGGACACTTCTGCTCTGTTCCCAGTTCTAGAATGCACAGCACTGGATTAAGATAGTCACTTGAACTTAATGATCATAAAATTTAAAAGCCAATCCTCCCTCCCATGGATACATATTCCCTCTCACTGCCCCAAGGATACTCATGTGTACCCTCCAATCATTCACTGAGGGGGTTGTCATTATTCTGAAAGCCTATCATTGCCTTTACTAAAAAGAACAGTTCATCTGTTGCTTCATCAGGCCCTTGCCCACCAAAAGTTACACAGAGAGAAAGAATAATCAGATGTGTTTTCTGATGTTTGAATGTCTCTGGCAAATAGGCCAGTGGTTCTCTGTCTGTAGGCTTCCACAGTCCAGCTCCAGTCTTCTGTTCACTGCACCCGCCTCCATGACTCCACCATACAACCGCTACTAGACTGTTCCACTTGCTGAATTCTCTCCCCACTGTGCTTATCACACACTCAGATCTTACATATCCTTCTAGGTCCAGTTAGTCTTTTTACTAAATTTTCCCTTAAACATTCTTTGACCACCTGAACCAACCTGCTCTGTCTCACTGAAAACCATGACTATCTCTCCGGTAGTCTTCATGTCTCTGCCCAGCTGTATTTTTCACTTTTGTTAGGTATACGATACTTAAGGCCACTGATTTTTTTTTTTTTTCCCTTTTTGTCTTTTTTACTGACCGGTAACGGGATCGCAACCCTCGGTGTTGCGCCCGTACCGGGGACTGGCAACGGGATCACAACCCTCGGTGTTGCGCCCGCACCGCGCTCAGCCAGTGAGCAGGAACCGGTCTCCACATGGGATCCGAACCCTCGGCGGGAGCGCCACCGCACTCCCAAGTGGCGCACTGTAGCAGTGCGCCACCAGGCCGGCCCAAGGCCACTGATTTTTTGAGTCCCATTTCCCTGATGGACAAAATAGATATTCTGCTTCTTAACCAGATGATTGTGAAGTCGAAATGAGATGAGCTATGTACCAGCGTGTCTTTAGCTGTAAACTTCTGTCCAAATTCAAGGTATTACTACAACTTATATTCCTTGGTCTTCCCATAGTTCCTAGAACACTATTACGTACATAGGAGGTGCCCAGGATACATTGATTGAATGAATAGCAGAAGGATCATTATCCATCAACTCTCCCAATTTAATCCGTAGCTGCTATCTATCAGCTCTACTTCAAACCCATTCATAATACTGAGCAAATACACCAACTTCTCTCACTACTGCTGCCATTGCTGCTACTAACAGCTGACAATTACTGAGCACTTACTGTGAGCCAGACACTGTGCTAACACTCTGTGTGTGTAATCTCGTTCACTCTCATCCTTACACAACCCTGCGGTGCAGCTATTATTATCCTCTCCCACCTTCCAGAGGCTCAGACAGGTTAAAACTAAAATAGCACAGGAAATAAATAGCAGAGGCAGTTTTCAAACCCTGATTTCAAAGTCCATGCTCTTAACCACCAACCCACATTTTTCAACCAGCTAAAAATTCTATTAAAGTAGACCTCTTAGTCATGGTGGAAGATGACCGTTAACAGATATTTTTGTCAGTTTTAGTAACATTCAGAGAAGTGTTAAAAGATATCATACGGGACTCAGAGAGAAAACTGTGTGGCTGGTCTCCACGAGGTTCTTCTGGCCGAGGCTCCACCAGAACCACCTGGCCATGGGCTGGCAGCCGAGTTCTCACGGGGTCCAGACTGACTGTACATTCCAGAGTAGCCATCCTGACATAATCAAATCTGAGCAGGTTCTTATCAATCGCTCTGGAGAGGCCATAGAATTCAGACACCTCCAACACATTGTTACTCATACGGATGATGTTACAGTCTGGTTCCAGGAGATAGACCCGCAGGATAAAGGTTTCTGTGAAGGTGTCTGTTTCAGTAAATCTGTGGAGAGAACAAAGCAAAGGCAATATTATTGGCTCTCAGATACTCCTGGTACCTGTGTATTCAGCTTCAAGCCTAAAGCTTGGCCTTCATAAAATTTGTACATCCAGCTAAGTTTGGATTTTGTCTCATGCTCTGCTCCCAACCTCTCTGTTTTCTTCCCTTCTTCTCTTTATCTTGGTATTAAAAATGCCTTTTCCTGCCACTTCCTCCTCCAGTCATCTTTCTTTCCACACCTGCTCTCAGACTCATTATCTGCACTGATATTTAACAACTGCCAAGAGCTCAGAGTCTCACTTCTAGCACATATGTAATTTAATGGTATCAAACCTGTATAATTTACGGATTGAGTTCTAGTTCAGGAATGAAGGGGTGAGGGGTTGCTGAAGCATCAAGGCCTCTTTGCTCTTCAGAAACACTGGTACATGGGTGGTGATTTACAGTCTAGCTTGGGTGCTCAGCTCAGTACTTGGCATGAAAAGGGCATTGAGTAATCATTTCTTCTACTCCCTCCATGCCCTTAGCAATGCTGATCTCAGGGCATTTACAAAGACTAATAGAGATGAGTTATCATTCTTTCTAAGGGGAGAATACTCATGAGTGATGAGTATGCATCAATAATGCAGCTTCTGATTGGTTATGATTATGACCCAGGTATTACTCTAAACTCCTTACAACAATATCTCATTTACCATGATGGGCATTGTTAGTCCCATTTTACAGATGAGGAAACTAAGATACAGAGAGGTCAAGTTAACTCACTTGCCAAAGGGGCTGGAGAAGAGGAAAGACAGGAATAAATATGCTCCCTGATCATCTACATACAACTCTTCTGAATATTCCATTTGAAATGTACTGGAGACCAAGAGCAATGGTTATTTCTCTAACCCTGCCCTTCATGCATACACCTGTGCCCTCCCTACCTGCTAGAAACTCAAGGAAGGAGTGGGGGCACCAAAATTCCTCAGCTTTCCCAGCCATTCCAGGCAAGCTCTTTGAAGCCCATCTGTTTTTTAATTTTAGGGTCTTGGAAAGATCAAACAGCCCTGTATGCTGATTTCATAGCTTCCTAAGGACTCTTGGGGTGACATTTCATTTTCTGAGGACAGCATTTTGTTCATGCTTCTCTTTTGACACTTGTCTTTCTGCATAATAATTATCTGCCCATCTTTTGTATTAGGCTATGAGCACCAAAGAATCCGTGTAACCTCATCTTTATGTTTTTTCTGCCCTACATAGAGCCTGACTTATAGTAGGTGATCATAAATGTTTATAGAATGATTCACTGTTCTAATGTCTTCTACAAAAGTCTTTTGCATTAGTCTAGTGCTTAAGGGAAATCCATACTGACATATTTTAACCAAATATTCATAAGAGCAAAATCAAGAAAATTCTATAAAGGCCTACTCCACATATACTGAGTTCTTAGTTGCTTCCATGAAATCAGCAATACTATAACCATGACCTTAAATTTTAAATTAATTTTTATTGTACATAAAATTCACATGCCATAAAATCTATCCTTTCAAAGCGTACCACTCAATGATTTTTAGTATACTCACATCATAACTAATTCCAGAACATTTCATCACCCCAAAAAGAAACCAATACCCCTTAGCAGTCATTCCCTATTCATTCTTCCCCGTAGTCCATGGCAACTACTAATCTACTTTCTGTCTCTATCGATTTGCCTTTTCTGGACATTTCACATAAACAAAATCATACAATATGTGACTTTTTGTGTCTGGCTTCTTTCACTTAACATAAAGTTTTCAAGGTTCATCAGTGTTGTGACATGTATCAGCACTTCACTCCTTTTTATGATTGAATAATTTTACATTGTGTGAAAATACCACTTTTGTTTATCCATTCATCAGCTGGATTGTTTCAACTTTTTGGCTGTTATGAATAATGCTGCAATAAATTTTCAAGTACACATTTTTGTGTAAACATAGGTTTTTATTTCCCTTGTATGTACACCTAGGAATGGAATTGTGGGATGAAATGGTCTTTCTGTGTTTAATTTTACAATTGATTTTTAAAACATTTTTATTATTTAATATGTTTAAAAATGGAAGATATTGCACTTCTTATAACTAAGAAGCTGGTCATCAAAAAAGAATTTTTTTCAATTTTAGAATATATTTTCCTCCTAATTCTCTTTAAGAATTTGTAGTTTTGTAATTTCCATTTTCCATCCTACGTGGGTTGCAACACTGGAGATCCAAGCACAGAACACTAAAGGAAAACAGGATAGGACTAATAATGTGCCACAGAAAAACCCCAAGGAAGATGATACAAATGGAAATAATTGAAAGTTGGCTACAATTCTTGCCTCACTCACTCTGGTCTCTAGTTTCTACTGGTTACTTCTTTGCTTGCAATCTATTAACTCCCCACCCCATATATATCCACAGTAGAAAGTACACAGAACGGTTATCTGCAAAGAATGAGCAACGCTCCTGCGCCACTTACCTGTAAAGCCTAAACTTCACTGCATCTTCATCAAGAATTGGGCAACCATTGTGAATATATTTCACTTCATTGGGAAGGAAATGGCAGTCAAAGACCTAGTTAGCATGAAGAAATGGATAGATATTTGTGAGAAAATTGGTACAGGACTTAATTTTTCCAGCAATAGAGTACTGCCTGGAGAAATTACAGTGTGTGTGGGTTGTAACCACCACCACCTCTACCCTACCCCCATGCTCACTCACCGTGCTGCTTATACAGCTGTGTCATGTTTTACGGATATCTAAATTATGAAAATCTAAGCAGAACAAGCAAATAAGTTAAGGGGTGGTTACCTCTCCAAATAATTACATCTTTACTGACTATAGTGCATTTAACATATGGTTCCATTTATCAAAATTTTATTTACCCCCTTTAGGCATTCATAGCAATTGAGTTAGAGAGGTCTTTCTGCATGTCTGCATGAAAAGGCGTGCACTAACCCACCCACAAACATACTGTATTTATTCTGTGTATTTTTGCTCTCCTTTTATTTCTTTCTTTCCAAATAGCATTTTTATATTCAAAGATAAAGTCCCTGACTATGGACACTCTTGTGGTTGATCAGAGTCAAATATGATCCACAGTTCTTTCTCACATACTTACAAAAGACTGCTTTTATTAGTCAGGTAATAGCAGAAATGACTGAGGAGACAAAACAAATTCTAAAGGCAACTTCCTCTGTTCAAATAAAGTTACAATCAACTGGGGCCGGCCTGGTGGCGCACTGCTACAGTGCGCCGCATGGGAGCGCGGTGGCGCTCCCGCCGAGGGTTCGGATCCCACATACAGACCGGCCGCTCACTGGCTGAGCGAGGTGTGGGCGCAGCACCGAGGGTCGCGATCCCGTTGCCGGTCCTGGTCCGGTAGGGGCGCGACACTGAGGGTTGCGATCCGTTGCCGGACACGAAAAAAGACAAAAAGGAAAAAAAAAAAAGTTACAATCAACTGTATCACCTCACACAGGATTATTAAGGAAATTCCTGTTTTATTTTGAGAACCCAAGTTTTTAAAAGAAAAATCTTCTGTTTCACTTATAGCATGGCCCTCATTCTGCCCAGTATGACTTGGTGTAGGATTTTAAGAAATAACCTTGAGGTACTCATACATTCTCACTATTGAGTTCACAGTGTTTAGTCTGTACCTTTTTACAGCCGCAAACATTTTCAGACAACGTAATCTACTCCGAGAAGACTTTATCACTAATACAAATGATTTTCTTTTCCCACAGATATCATTTGTTCCTCTTTTTAATTGACAACTAGGAAGGAGATAAAGGAAAGACCTTCCCCATATCACTGACAAATGGTCAGGGCAATAAAGAGACAATCTGCTTGTTAAAAGAAACATCTGTTTTATGTTTCCTAATATGTTTTCTTTTTATAAAAGGCGACAACCATAATTGTCCATAAATTTACTAACTAAAACAAAGGAGAGCTAAATCCTTTTCTAATTACTGTCTAGCTTTATTTTTTTCCACTTCAACTGCTTTTCAATTACAATTTATAATTAAATTGCCACACATTCCTAACTCATGACTCACTTTAATGACAATAATCCAGTTTGAACTAGGTGTACTTTCTTATTGCTGAATTTCCTATTCAAAAAGAAAGCTCGGTGCTTAACTGGGGTGCTTCTCCCCCCAGGAAAGTCATTGCTTTGGGCCAGGTGTAGGAAGTGCTGTGCATGAGAAAGTCTTGTCCTAGAACATGAGGAAAACATGTTGCCATCGACCTCATCTAATTGACTATATCAACAGGGTTATCTAAACAGAAGGTACTGTGTGCACCAACTGAAATTCCTTTCCAAATATTCAATAGGAAAATGAGCCTGTTGGTCTTAAGACAGACTTCAGTAATGAAATGAAAACACTAACTGAACAGATGTTAAACAAAACATTTTCTGTGCAAATTACATGAAACTGTTCATTACCCAGCAGGGTGTTGTTGGTGTTGTTAATACAGTCGTCTCACTAGAAATGGGTTCACATGACCCTGGCTTTCAGCTTACTATTAAGCTCTGTTAAAGAATAATGTTTAGGCTGCATGTGTGTGTGTGTCTGTGTGTATATACACAAGTACCTTTGGCTATGCTTAATTTCAAAAACTACATACGAAATAAATCGCTGGGGAGGGTTGAACCAACCTAAGTTAAAAACCAAGCACAAATTTCAAAAACAAAACAAAACAGACTTACTTGGGAATCTTGATTTGTTGAAATTATCATAATAAAAAAATAGGAATGATCATCTGACAGTTTGAGAAACAAAGTTTTCCCACTGTAAACTCTATAGCACAAAGTTCTAATATTTGGCAAATAGGTGATGAAACTCTACATTTTAATGGCCTCCTTTACCACAGAATAAATTTTAGAATATATAAATCACATATCTACTTTAGATGATATAAATCAATTTGAGATGTCATATTTACCTCTGGAAATACATACACTGATCATTCAGGAATTGATTCTTTTTTCTTCTAAAAGAGCAACGGCACACTAGGGGATCTGTGTATTCAGGGGTGTTCCCTAGCAGTCAAAAGTCCTAAATTAGCTGGGCATTTTGTTGTTTCTGCTCTATACTGAATTTCTAGTAAACGAATTTTTGCCTTAAAAATCAAAGAAAATTTGAGATGGAGATGACTTGGAGGTCTATTCCAATCCTTGATCCTTGTAACCAAATATATATTTTCACCTAGTTCTAGTCACTTGGATCTCTTTTTGCTCCCCAGTGTTTCAAAGCAGGCCAAAACATCAGGGCTATTAAAACATTACTAAAAATATATAGTGGAGATAATTTCATTACCCTCAGAAAGAGTGTCGTGTAAGTTAAGGAGTCCTAGGCTATTTGGGATGCGGAGAGGATAGTCCTGCGAGAATGGCTTAGGTAACAATAGATCCTCCCCAAATTGCCCTCTAAGGAGGAGAATCTGGTGAAAGGCAGGGCTTTGTTTTGCTCAGCCGGGTATGCATGATTGGGGTTCAAGCTAGATGACACTTTAGACAACTTGCCCCTGCAGGTACCAGTGGGAATTTTGCTTCTCCTCCTCCCCACAAAATACTCAGCCTCCTTCTAAATAAATGTTGAACAATTTTTAAAAATAGAAGGTGTACCAAATCATCAACACATCATTCTTTATAAAATGCCCATATACACCAGTATTGCCCTGGGTCCCTGCTTGATGAAGGACCCCAGTCCTCTAGGATCAGGGTCCTATCTTGCTGTTCCTCAAAACTCGAAGGGTTTGCATTTTGCTCTTCATTCCAGTCCCTGTAGTTGGGTCTCCACTGCCTGCTGCTGAACGTATTTGTATCACCTGCCCGTCCTATTTAGTGCATCTGGACTACACTATGAGCTAGCCCAGGTCTCTCCTTTTTCCATGACTGATAGGTGCCAATCAAAATACTTTCAGAGTGCAAGCAATGTTGGGAGAGAGTGAGAACTTGCAACTCACAAACACTTGGGAATACAACATCTTGATACCTGGGGCCAAAAGTATTCTAACATTTTTAGATGCCTGTCTGAAGCTCTTTGACAAAAGAAAATCTCACAGGAAACTGGAGGGAGATATTTGGTTACTATCACATCAGGAAAACCCCAATATGAGACCCCCTTCCACAGAATTCTATTGTGTTTCAGAATTGGACTATAACTTTAAGTGTAGTAAATAGAATGTCTAGAGATATCAATCTGAGCTAGAGCATCAGTCTAAGTATCTTTAGTCCATCTCTGCAACATCTAGTACCACTTTTGAATAATCTCATGGAATATGTTTCTTTAACCAAATGGAGAGAAAATAATGTTCACAGTTCAGCAAGCAGGAATGGTACATTTTTCCAGAAGCTGCAGCAGCATTCAGTGTTGAATATTCTCAAGATTGTTCTCACTGGGTGCAAAGTCAAATCACAGTGGGACCAAGTAATAAAACCGGAAACAATATTCTATCATGTATAGGGATAAACTCCTACTTCAAGCAAAAGCAATATGTAAAAATACAAACTCTTTAAACCCAGTAAATTAAAAGTTAGCTCTTCACCCTACAAAAGGATTAACCATAGAATAATACCTTTACATAAAAAAAGTCTCCAAGGTTATGACTACAGGAAAAATATTGTGCAGACATTTTCAGAGAACAGTGAGCATTTAAAGTGATGTATCTTCACATCTCTTTTCTACTTCTCTTCCCTTACTGAAGAGAAAGTTCGAGCAATGTTAATAGATGAAAATGTCTTCATGGTTTCCTTTGGTGTTCTGAGATCACAAGAGTATCCTAAAAATGTCTTGAAATCTTGATATCTTATGCAAAGGCACCTTGACTGGCAATGGGTGAGATAATTGGGGGCAGGAATAATCCCATAAGGAGTGGTCATATCACACCACACAAATGACTGACCACTCCAACCCTTGGAAGGCTCCCGTTCTCTCTCTCTCTCTCTCTCTCTCTCTCTCTCTCTCTGCAATGTACCTAAAATAAGAGATGTGTGATTCTCTTACATTATCCTTTTCCCTGGATGATTAGCTACCCTATAAGGTCAAGCAGCTGGTAAGATGTACAAGAGATCTCTTCCATAAAAGAAGAGAAATCGGAAAGACTTGATACAGTGCATCAAGAAAAAATACACGCATCCATATTAGTTTGAACCTGACCTCCTCCACAGGTGCTGGCATAATTAGGGTAAATGCTACTTATTGCAGGCTTGTAATCTGAAGCCAGCCAAGAACTTTCTAAAACAGGTTTCACCTCACATGGACAAACAGTGTACCTGTGCCTGCTGATGGAAACTCCGCCCGTTCAAATGTGAGCGTTTTACAGCACGTCCGTTTGAGAGACTGAGAGGAGACTTTTTCGTCCCTTGCTCCCCCCGCCCCTTCTTCACACCCGCACACACTCACGTCCACACTCGCTCCCGAACAGAAAATCCCGATGGGACCTACCTGTGGAGTGAGTTTCCCCACCCTCTGGGTTACTGGCTCGTTCCTCACAACTTCCACTTTGCAGGCATCTTTCTGCCTGGGGATGGCAAACTGCAGGTCCTCGGGGGACAGGAAGGCGGAGCTGCCCTTGGTCACCTTCACCCCGCGGTTGACGCTGATGAAGGTGGGGGCGGCCCAGCCCGGGCCCGGCGGGAGCAGCAGGAGCAGCAGCAGCCGCAGCGCGGCGGGCCCGCCTCGGCCCCCAGGGCCCATGCCGGCCGCCCGGCCCCGGAGAGATCCTTGGACAAAGGCGGGCTCCTGTGCCTCCGCCCGCAGTGTCAGCTCATAGCCCGGGGGCAGGGCCCGGACCCGACGGCGCGCCCCCAGGTCTCAGCAGGTCCCTTTCATTGGGCGCTCAGACAAGGAGGCCTTTCAGGCGGTCCGGGGGCGGTGAATGAAACGCGCGGATCCCTCCCGACAGCGCCGGCCGGACGAGCGCGCCTCCCGGAGCTGTCCTGACCCTGCACGTGGAGAGGGCGGAGGAAGCGAGAGGCCCGGGGTCGGTGCCGCTGCCCCAGAGACCGCCCCCCACACGGGACTCTCTCACCCAGCCCGTAACTGCAGCTAAAGGAAAAGCGAACTCACTTGACCGCCAGGCGCCTCTGAAGGCGACGCGCCCGTCCCCTGGCCCTGCCCGCAGCCCCCGTCCCGGGACCGACACACCCGAGCGGGCGCGGACTGTGCGGCCGCGGGAGCCGCCCGCCGCGGGGCCAAGGCCTGCGGGGTCCTCTGAGTCCACACAGAAGCAAAGATGCTTCCCTTTCCTCCTCTCTCAAATGAGGACTGTAATCAAATTTGCATCGCAGAGCTGAAGGGATTATTTCACATTTAAACGTGACTGATTCTTTTTCTTTTCTTTTTTTTTTTTTTTGGCGGTGACTGGTAAGAGGACTTGAACCCTTGACCTTGGTGTTATCAACACTATGCTCTCACCAACTGAGCTAATCCGCCAGCCCTGAAAACATGATTTATTCTAAATCAGTACTACCCAAGTAAGAAATAAGCTTAACGATTCCTGCCATCAGGCACAGTATTGGTTTTGCTGGCCAATAAAGACATTTCATTTTACACTTGAGTAAAAATTAGAGGAAATATATTTTTTTCTAAGTGAACATTCAAGTTTTTGCTTATGTAAAAGGGACTATTAATAGTGTGACAGCTCCAGTATAGCCAGCTGATGATCCTGTGTATGTACATCCATATTTAGATTATCTACAATGCTAATTACATTATAATTACTTGCACAAATGGAGTCTTTGTTTCTACTTTAACCACTTAAAGTTTCATGATTATTTCTCTGTGTTCTATAAGAACTGTAAAGATTTTATCCAAAGTAAAATGAATTGCAATATATCCTTAGATTCAGGGTATGATTATGTGAACAAATAGTGATTGGTTATGCCCAAAGAAAGCCTTTTTATTTTAACTATTTAAGTAAATTTCTGTACATAACCAATGGATATCAAAGTAAGTGTTTGTCAGAGGGTGTAGACAAAAATGCCTCTATTATCCATTTAATACATTAAGAGAAGACCCGTTTCTTTATCACTGTTGGAAACCTTTCACTGTTGAGGCAGTGCCTGACATGTGTCACCTGACACCTGAGGGGGTGGCCACTTTGCAGATCTGCCTGGTTTTTATGGTATCAGTCCCAGAATAAAACTGTTCACACACTCCCGCTGACTATGCTGCCCACACTCAGACTGAATTAGGTTAGCTTATTTGTGCAAGAATGCAAATCTGGGGGCCGGCCCGGTGGCGCACTGGATAGTGCGCCGCTTGGGAAGCGCAGTGGCGCTCCCGCCCGAGGGTTCGGATCCCACGTACAGACCGGTTCCCGCTCACTGGCTGAGTGAGGCGCGGGAGCAACACCGAGGGTTGCGATCCCGTTGCCGGTCCCCAGTCCGGTACGGGGGCAACACTGAGGGTTGCGATC